ATCTCCTGAGGGCCATGTCCCAGCAGTCCACTCGGAGGGTGAGGTCCTCTCATCTCTTGAGGTGTGTGGGCCATCAACATTCCTTGGGGAGCAGGACCTTGATTCTCTCGGGGGCCCGGAGGTCCCTGCATGCCTCTTGGATTCAATCCCATCAAAGGTCCTTGAGACCCAGGACCTTGGATACCCTGAGACCCTGGACCACCTTGCATCCCATGAGAAAGAGGAGGCCCTTGCATCACTCTCGGAGCAGGTGGTCCCTGTATGGCTTGAGGACCAGGTGGGCCCTGAGGACCCAAATGACCCTGGGGACCAGGTGGGCCCTGAGGGCCCATGTGCCCTTGTGGACCAGGTGGACCCTGAGGGCCCATATGACCTTGAGGACCAGAACTACCCTGAGGTCCAGGTGGTCCCTGAGGTACCAAAGAACCATGAGGTCCAGGATGCCTTTGTATTCCTTGGGGTCCATGCATATCCGGAGGCCTAGGCAAGCCTTGGGGCCCCTGTGGTCCCATGAATCCTTGGGGGCCTCCACCTCCTTGATGTAGTGGAGGCCCTTGTGGTCCCATTTGTCCCTGTGGTCCAGGGGATCTAAACTGTCCCTGTGGACCTGGTGGCCCCATCTGAGCCATGCTCATTGGTATCTGCTGAGATGGATGTGGCTGTTGAAAACCTTGAGGAATCTGAGACATTGGACCTTGTCCTGGAAATGACTGAGGTCCAAGGAGAGGGGTGCCAGATGCAGGAGAAGGCTGAATTTGCTCAGCCTGTTTCTGTGCAAGTCTTTCAATTTTAAGTTGCTGGGGAGAAAAAAAAAAGTCAAGAAAATTATAGTGAATAAATAAATCTTGAAGAGACAGTGTATTACTTACTTTGAGGAATACTCAAAACAAACATCTCATCAGTGCTCCAAAGATAGTAAGAGTCCATATATCAGAATGCTCTGAGCACCTATGCAATGTAACAGCACTTAGCCTTTCAGTCCCAGTATAGATACTGCCTTCCGTAGCTATGTACTGGAAATAACAATGATTTACCAGTAAGAAAATGACTCCAGAATTTTAGCATTCTTGGCAACTTCTAAAAGTAGGGAGGGGGAAAAAACACAACCCTATCTATTACATGACTGACAAAAAATTTTCTTATCTTTGGATAAGGAAAACTATGTTGACTTTATCTTTTCTACTAAAAATGCACATTTAATGCTGGTCTATTACTGTTTGACTAATTCTTTTAGAAAATAATTTGAAACCTACAACTAGGAGAGGATAAAACAGATGAATGGGACCTTCTAAGAATCAAATCCCTATGCACATCCAGAAACAGGGTAAAAGGGAAGCCGCAGATTGGGAAAAAAATATTTGGTAATGACATATCTGATAAGGGACTTATATCTAGAATTTACCAAATACTCTAGCATATCAACAAGATTAAAGTAAACAATCCAATTGCAAAATGGGCACAGGATAGGAACAGATACTTCACCAAAGAAGATACTCAGATGGCGAACAAACACATGAAGAAATATTCAAATCCCTAGCTCTAAGAGAGATGTAAATCAAAACAACTATGAGACATCATCTCACCCCAGTAAGAGTAAAAAAATTTAACAGAGTAGCAAACAACAAGGTTGTGGAGAAACTGGAACCCTTATTCACTGTTGGTGGGACTATAAAATGGTACAATCACAGTGTAAAGCTTTCTCAAAAAGTTGGAAATAGAAATAACATTTGACCCAGCAATTCCACTACTGGGAATATACCCAAAAGAAACCAGAACTGGCACTCAAGCAGACATACGCACACCCATGTTTATTGCTACTTTGTTCACAACAAATGAATGGATAGAAAAGCTGTGGTATATTCAAACAATGGAATATTATGTAGCACTGAAAAATAAAGAACTCACGAAATATACAAAATGGGTGACTATTGAGGACATTATGCTGAGTGAAATATCTCAGTCACAAAAAAACAAATACTGTATAATTCCACTGTTATAAAACAGTACTGACATGGGGATTGGGGGAAAACTACAAAAAGAGGGGATAAATAATGTACACGACACTGAAACAGACGAGGGAGAGGAATATATGATTAGGTATTACTAGCATGACAAAACTCCAGAAAAAGAGCTGCATAGTAAAGTAGTCCAGGGGCAGGGGATGACTTTATAACAATGAAAGAACTTTTTTTCAAAGAAAAAAGCAAACTGGGGGGGGGGGGTGGAGGGAGAGGGAAATGTGCAACAATGAATGAATGGAATCCGTGTTCTTTTATAAATTTTCATTAAAATCTCAATTAAAAAAGTATAGTTTCTAAACAGAAAGAAAATAATTTCATAACTGAGCAATTAAAAAGTGGAGGTGTGCCATCTGAAAGTTATTTCAGCCCTCAAAGGGCCTATTAATACAAAATGCACATTCTTAAATCTTGAACCAGCATAGTCTTACAAACCTCTAGGAGTTGTGGGTTAGTGTACTGCAATGTGGCCATTTCTTGCTCTATTTCTGCTTGTGTTTTTTTCTTCTCTTCCAATTTAATATCCTCTTTTCTGTCACTGAGTCCTTCATTGGGAGCAGGTATTGGAACTTTATTTTGCATCCAAGCCTTGGAAAAAACAGTATGAAAGCCATTCATATCACTAGTCACTGAGTCTGTTTCACATAATGTGTCAATTATCAAGACAAAAGGGCATCTGAACACTACATCTTCACAACTTAGATATCATCAATCACATACCTCTCTCCATCATTACATTCTGTGAAGTAACCTACTCATTTAAACTTGCTGAATGTAAGTCAATTCACCTGGTAGACTATCTTTATTTTTATTAATAATTCTTAAGTGATGTGGTAATGGAATTAGTCACATTACTGTGCAGAAATTAATAACTCTGAAAATGCAGAAAAATCTTGCATGTTATTAAGAACATAAAGCTTGCCTGGCTCTTCAAGAGGAAATATACTCAACATTTTGTTTCGAGGGGCTAATGAAAGTAGAACACAGATAAGTAACATAAATGAGAGCATACTAAGTCTGCTCTTTGTTTTCCTTCATCTAACAGCCTGATTGATAATGATTAATGTGAGAAGAGAGGTAGAGACTCATTAGAGGCCTAGCACTAATTTCAAAATACCAGACAGAATTACACCTAAAAAGCATGATTACATGAACAGGATTACAGAAAGGGCTCACAATATAGGAACACTGCTAAGAAATCACATCATCAAAAAAAAAAAACCACCTACTTATGAACTTCAATTAGACTCACCAAAGAGGATTATGCATGAGATGGAAGTTACTTTTAGTTACTTACTTGCTGGAATTGAGCAGGAATAGGTTTTGCATATGGAACTTTCTTCTGAGGTACTTTTTTTTGATCTTTCTGCATTACCTCCTCCATTCCCCAATCTAAACCTGGAATTGTCATTTCAATTTCATTTGATTCATCTTTCCCTACAATTATAAAAAGAAATAACTAGTGATAAAAATGAAATATATTAAATATCTAATCAATGAATATATCTTTTGGAAGAACAAATGCTAAATATTATGTACAATATTTACAATTAAACATCAAAATGATACGTATCTATTATAAAGGAACCCTAGTGGTATGTTACATGTCGGGCTACTAATGGAAAAGTCAGTAGTCAGAACCCACCAGCCAATCTACAGGAGAAAGATTTCTCCTCCTATCAAGTTTCACAGCCTCAGAAATCAAATAGAAGGTCACCATAAGTTAGAATTGTCTCAACAGCAGTATGCAGGTTCTATCACTTGTATGTAAATATTGCAATATTAAAATACAATATTTAGAACTTTATCAAAATGTCTTCACATATCATTTTAATACTTTAAATATATGATAATAACATAAAACTAAGAAATAAGCATACACAATGTATTGGCATAACTTTTCTTACCCATCTGTTCTTGCTCCATAGCTAATTTTAGTTGTTCTGGTATTCCCATCCCTGGAATTACCGCCAGGCTGTTAGGTTCAAGGTCATCTACAAATGTTAACATATCCATTTTAATAGAGATTTAAATAAAAGTAGTAGTTCAAAGCAGCAAAAATTTTATAAAAGGTCTATCAGTATAATAATATTGAATAAAGTTCTGCTCTTATGCTTAGGGACTTACAAAGTGGTGATGCTCACCTAAAATACTGGTCTCTACTTGTCTAGTGCAAAAGGAATAGAAGGGAACAAAAAACGCAGAGAAGAAATTGGTCTATACGAATGAAAGCCTCATCTCCCCAAGACCAAAAGAAACAGATGGTCTTCAGCTACCATTACTGACGGCATGGCCACAGTAGACAGACGTAGGTGGAATGGGAGAAAAACATAACCTAGAACCACAAATTCCTTTAAAGAAACAAAAAACACCAGACCTACTACTGGACTTCTCCAGACTAATCCCTAGAGAAAATCTTCAAGTACTGAATGGAAAGTAACCCCTAAAATTACCTTTACAGCTAAATAACAAACTAGTCAGAAAAATAATGACTACTACTCATACATAAGCCAGCACAGAAACGAAATTAATGGAAAAGGAACTATCAAAATGAATAAACATGTTTACGTATTTTAGAGAATGAAAATAAATTTCATTGTACAATTTGTGTATAAATGTTGAACTGGGAACCTAAAGAGTTGTGTAAATTTGCATCAAAAATACCATACACTATTATAGTCATTTTTAGAAATGCATCCTTTGAAAGCAATGATATAAATGTAGGTGCAGAGGCCATAGAGAGAGGCATTGCCATTCAAAGGTGGTATCTCTCTGGTGGTTTAAATCTAACAAGCTGGGCTGCATAAAAAAGATGGACAATCACCTCCTGTATGATTTACAGCCTCTGAAAACCTGCTTCAGGGTCAAGTTATGAGTCAGTTCTGACTCAAAAGCAATGAGTTTGAGTTTGTTTTGATTATTTTTTAAATTAAAAGTAAAGTGAGTTACTTATCTAAAAAAAAGCAAATTGAGTTTTGTTTCATTTTCCTAATACATAATACTTTCATGACAGAATGTTAGAATTAGATAAGAATAAACGTACAAAGTCCTCACCATATTCGACACCATCTTCAGACATTCCAGGCAGTAGATTTAAGTTATAACGATCTCGCATTTTATCACCTGGTCGATTTCGGGTCCAAAATTTGCTGTAAAAATAAAGTGGTATAGAGCATTTGCTGGTAACTTATTAATTCAGGACTAAATAAGCCCTTAGTAGGAACCCTGGCGGCACTGGTCAAATACATGGCTACTAAGAAAATCCAAGACTGACAGTATGCACCTGTGAGTCACTCCACACGAAAACCATGTTCCCATGGGAGATTATGTTCCTATGAAGAGTGCAGCCCTAGGAATTCAGACGCAGTGCTACCCTATCCTGTAGCCCAATATGAATTAAACACAAGACATTTTTCAAATGGTAATCTTCTAAATATTTAAAATGTAAGGTGTTTTCTTAAGAACTAACTAAGGTGCGTCTGATACAAGCCATGGTCTTCACAATCACTTGTTATGCATCAGAGTGTTGGAAAATGACCAAGGAGGATAGAATGAGAATTGATGCCTTTGAGCTGTGGTGCTGGAGAAGAGTATTGAGAGCACCAAGGACTGCTAGGAAAACAAATAGATTCATCCTGGAAAGGGTTAAACTGGGTGGCTCCCTGGAGGCAAGGATTCTGAGGCTCTGTCTGACATACTTTGGACATACTGTGAGGAGGGACATCATGCTTGGGAGGGTGGAGGGACAGCGCAAGAGGGAAGGCCCTCTATGAGGTGGACTGATTCAGTGACTGGGATAATTGGGATGGGAGTGTCAGAGACAGTGCAACTGGCACAGGACAGAGCGGAGTTTAGGGCTGTTGTGCATAGGGTCGCTATGAGTCGCAAGTGACTTGACGGCACATAACAACAACAACAACAACAACAACAAATTAATATTTAACACAGGATCACTTTATTGTATTATTGTATTTACAACATGGACTAGATGAAGAAGAATATGGCATCAGGATTGGTGGAAGACACATCAACTACTAATGTAATACAGATGATAGAACCTTGCTTGCTGAATGACAGTGAAGAGAACTTGAAACACATGCTACAGACGATCAAAGATTACAGTCTTCAATACTGATTAGTTCTCAAAATCAGTAAAGTAAAAATCCTAATAGACCAATAGGAAAGATTGTGGTAGCAGGAGAAAAGATTGAAGTTGTTACTTGTATCCACAATCAAAACTTACGGTAATAGCAGTCAAGAAATTAGAAGCTATGTCACATTGGGAAAAATCGGTGGTAAAGGACATCTCCAAAGTGTTAAAGAGCAAGAATGTCAGTTTAAAGCCTAAGTTGCATTGAATCCAAGCCATGGTACCTTCAATTGTTCCCATGCATCTGAAAGTTGGGACAATGAATAAGGATAGCAGAAAGATTAATGCCTTTGAATTGTGGAGTTGGAGAGTAGTACTGAATATCTGAGGGAGTGTAAAATAAATAAACAAACAAACAGGTTTATCTGGGAGGAAGTAAAACCAGGGTGCTCACTGAAGACAAGGATGGTGAAACTTCATCTCACATACTTTGAGAGGTTAGCCCATGAAAAAAGACATCATGGGAATGGTCAGAAAAAGAGAGGAAGGCCTTCAACGAGATGGATTAATAAGAGTGACTACAGTGATGGATTCAAGCATTAAAGATGGTGAAGATGTTGGAAAATAGACTCAAATCTATCAATCAAAGGGTTACTGGGAGGTTTAGTTGATTTGATGTCATCTGACAACATCACCACCACCATGTATTTATACATGTGTCTACAATGTCTTTAAGAGTAAGCTGGAATGTAAAGTCATACCTCAATCAAGAAAATAAGCACAAACAATACTTATTTCTTGCAGCTTATAATAATTCTGATATAAAACTTACCTAGTGTGGTCATTTGAACCTGAACAGAGAATGTGTCCAAGAGGATGCCAGGCCAGACTCCAGATCATCCCTTCATGTGCCATCTCCATTCCACCCACTTCCTTCTCTACCCTGCAGAAGTAAAACCGAAAAAGCTGTTTCCCAGAGAAGGAAGAAAAGGGGTGGGAAGACATTTTCTTTTGACCTTAAACCTTAACACAAAGCTATGCAAACTCTATTTATTTGAACCTGCTCAGACTGTTACAAAAAACACCTCCAATTTGAACTTAAGAAGAGAAAAACATTTTAAAGATAATTTGATGTCAAGTCAATTCTGACTCACAGTGACCCTAAATATGTACTGAAAAATTGCTCCAAAGGGTCTTTCATTCTTCGTCTATTGGACTTCCAAGTTTGTCTTCTAAGCTCCCTCTCTGGATTACAACCTTTCAGCTAGTAATCAAGTACTTAATGGTGTGACAAAGGAACTAAAATAAAAAAACTAAAAAAATCAGTTTTTATTATTTTCCCCTAATGGCTTCTATATCTAACTATGGAGGTGCTTTATATTCCAATTGGAAGTCTTTAATATAAGACATATGACCTTAAAAAAAGTACAAAACATCATGTTTTTACACATTTAGGTGATTTCTTTATAAAACATACTATTTCTTTACATAATAATTACGACATACCCAACATGCCAGAATAATAAAGAACCATCAGACCCTCCACTGGCAAAAAGGCCTTCATGAACAGGATGCCAGGCAACAGCTATAAATCAAAACATGGAGAAAGACAAAACTCATAAAGATCAGTGTCACAAGTATAATCAGGGGAAAAAAAAACAACAAAAAAAACCCCAAGTATGATCAGAACGTTATGAAATACATCACAGGCTTTTACCTGTGGCTTCTTTCTTATGACCTCGGAATACTTGAAGCTCTTCCTTTAGGTTTCGAATGTCAAAAAGTTTACAGAGATGGTCACGTGATGCTGTAAGCAGCCAATTGCCATTGAGATTCAATTTCACTTCCATTACTGTATTCTTATGGGCATGACTAGAAACAAAGTAGCAAGAAAATACCATCATGTCTCAAAATTAATACAAATCAGAATCGCTCTCAGAATATAAATCATTACAACAGCCATTTCTGCTACAAAGTACATGAATGAAAAGGAAAGAAGTCTGGCCTAGCACCATAAAGCACATATATTACAGGGATCATAGTGAAAAAATAACACTCAAAAGAAACAGAAGTCAGTGACAGAAATAAAGTGCACTATTAAAGCATACTTATCATTAACTAGTTAAAATAGAACAAAATTTCAACTGGATTGAAAAGCGTATCTGTGAAGCAGAGGCTATATTTGAACATTAATTAATATTTAGTAGAATTTAATACATTTAGAAAATTCAATGAAGGTCTTCTCATTCAGAAAAACAAACTTAAAAATGGCTGAGTAGTGTAATGATAATTTTTACTAAAGATGGACCAACAAGACACGGCCTACACATTGTGCACTTCCAGGGGAATCAGTCACTAGGAGTTCTAGGTTGAATTTGTCCTGTGAAGCTGTGCAAAGAGGCTACCTTGCTAGAACAAGCTCAATCTAGCATGGCATATTCCTTTCCCTCACACAAGAGCCAGCACATAATAAGTTTGTCCTAAATAAAGTTAAACTATTTTTATAATTTTGACTGTTTGAAAATAGTTCAAAGTGAGTATTGTATTATATTAATCCACCAAAAGTGATATACTCTAGACAAATTATGAAAATGAGTTAAAAAATATTCAAAACTTCGACAGATGGATGAAATGGCTGAGGCTAGGCAAGTGACACACACATCAATTACATATTTTACTAGTGATGTTCTGCTAAGGAGAAACAGCCAATTAGACTAGCAATCAGTAAGAATCACTTCTTCCAAGTTTACCATACTTCCTTTGAATTACACTTAATTAAATTTAAATATATGTGCAGAACAAAATCAAGTTTTACTTTCACTAGAAATTTAGAGATAAATCATATTAATAATAAGTCTACAGATACAAATCTTTCTGTTATCTAAAAGGTGTTAAAAACAGCATTTGAACATATGACAAAAAGAGAAGTAAATTCAGGTGCATGAACTGCTTATTCTCCTCCACTTTGGGAGTTAACATGGGCTCCTATCACTTACAGTGTTGCAAGACTCTGCCCAGTCTTGGGATCCCAGAACTTGATTGGCTGTTGACTATCTTTACTTCCTGAAACAACTAACCCTTTTGTTGGATGCCAGTCCACACATTTCACATCAGCACCATGGCCTGTTGGAAACAAATCAAGACAAAAACCTTAATCAGTCCTATATACTTAAGAGATTCTATCCTAATCTAAATCAAAGTAGAACTATCTCCTAAAGGTTTTTATCTTGTTTACTATTTGATCATTGCTGACTAGTGGGTTTTCAGAGGTGGTAAACAGCATAGGAGGAGACAACTCATCGATCTCTCCTGGGGCTGCTGGTTTTTCCAAGGTTTTTACCAAGCCTTTGGTATGGCAATACAACTTCTTACCCACTTGCCAGTAAGCCTCCTTATCTTACTGATAAGCTATTTCTGAGACTCTTTGGTCTTGAAGGTTCTTAGATGTAGTGGAGCTCTACTCATCAACAGAGCCATTAGGAACCTATCTTCTCTTGGAACTAAACTCATATTCTCAACTACTTCCCAATAGCCTAAGCCCAAATATAAAACTTCTTTAATGTTTCATATGTTTCTGGAATATCTAGATTGTTATGCACTCTAAAATGCATGTTGGCTGCCCCACTTTAGTACTACAATCTTAAACAAAGATTTTAAAAAAAAAGTACTCCATCTTTCTGATCCTGTTTGCCAAAACAAGAATGAGAAAGATAATCCCTGAGTTTACATTTGCTTTGAAAATCATAAGATACACTATTTTTATTAAGCCCTTAAAACCATCACTCCTATAAATCCTTACAAATCCTGAGGAAATACCAGCATTATACAAATGAAGAAATGGAAAAATTCAAGGGGTAAAACAGCCATCTTAGATTCCAAAGCTGGTGAACACTCAAGTCTGGACTAGGTCTGTGTAATTGTAGACCTGGTCGTCTTAGTCACTGTGACAAAGCACAAGTTTCTCCCACCAAAAACAAAAGACATGAATGACAGGAGTGAAAAACTGGAAAAAATGCTTACAACTTTTTAATTTTCTATTCAAAATGTAGTTAACAGGGTTGGCAGCCCGATTCCTTACCACTAAGCCACCAGTACCCCCATTTTAGGCACCCCACAGAAGCAAGCTTGTAGGGAGATTAGATAATCTGCCCAAAAGTTTCATTATGTGTATCAAAAATTGCATAATCTACGACTCAATAATCTGACATCTTAGTATTTTTTTCATTTTAATAATTTTAATGAACATTTAGAGAGATTTTGGATTTCCATTCATTCATTGCTATACTTCTCTCCACACCCAGCCCTCCCCCCCCCCTTTGAAAAGTAAAACTCCCTCCCTGGTACACAATCCCCCTGCACCCCTCCCAATGTCCCAAGTACATTCCACTATGCAACCTTGACATCTTAGTTATTTATCACAAGGAAATAAAAATGTCCAAAAGGGTTTGTCTACAAGGAATATTTACTAAGGCAGCTTATTTTGCAATATTCTCAATTTGGGAATAAATCTAAACTATAACAAGTTGGTACTCTTTGTGTGTGTGTGTGTGTGCGCGCGCGTGCGCGCGTGTGCGCCAGCCACAGGAAGAAATTGCCCCTCCTTCTCCAGCAGAGCACCTGATGGATTTGAACCCTGTGCCTGAGGGATTGCAGTGCGGCTTCTTGCCACTAGGCCACCAGAGTTCCTTAAGTCACAGGTACTTAGGGGAATACCACACATCTATTACAAAAGACACTAAAATATTTAATGACATTACAGTAAGTTGAATTTTAAAAAATAAAAATCATGAATATGTTTTCAGGTTGTGAATCTTAATGGAAGGAGACTGCCTATCTTTCCCAAGGAGCCAATGGATTCAAACCACCAGAGACTCAGAGTCTTTTGGTTAGCAATGTTAAAAACTGTATCATCAGAGTTCTATTCATACTGAGAAGACTAGAAAACAAAATGTTACAATAAATAATATTAAGTTGGTGGGAGTATTAAAGTAATTCATATTTGTTTTATACTTTGTAATTTTTTTTAATCAAAATTTTTTTGTCAAAATTGTGAGGGTGGAGAGAGGTTTTGGGGATTTTTGGTATGTTTGTTATTTGTATGAAAGAAAGAATAAAGAATTAAATAGAGGAAATCTAAAAATATATGATCAAATTCCTCTCTCTCCTGATTTATCTCAAGAACTTTCCCCCCCCCATGCCAGTTCTCATCCTTTGGGGTTTTTTTTTCTGTGCAAGTTAGGGTTTTTATCAAGAAAGGGAGTAATGCAACTAAACAGTCCGCCTAGAAGCATTTACAGTGGACGATGGAAGAACCAGACTTCTTGTACTCCTGCTTGGTGATCCACCTCTGCTGGAAGGTGGACAGGGAGGCCAGGATGGAGCCTCCGATCCACACGGAGTATGTGCGCTCAGGGGGAGCGATGATCTTGATCTTCATTGTGCTAGGGGCCAGCACTGTGATCTCCTTCTGTATCCTGTTGGCGGTGCCTGGGTACATGGTGGTCCTACCAGACAGCACTGTGTTGGCGTAGAGGTCCTTGTGGATATCAACATCACACTTCATGATGGAGTTGAAGGTAGTTTCATGGATGCCACAAGATTCCATGCACAGGAAGGAGGGCTGGAAGAGTGCTTCGGGGCAGCGGAAATGCTCACTGCTGATGGTGATGACCTGTCTTGTTGGGCAGCTTGTAGCTCTTTTCCAAGGAAGACAAGGAAGCCGCCTGTGGCCATCTCCTGCTCAAAGTCCAGGGCAACTAACAAGAGTTTCTCCTTGATGTCACGCACAATTTCCTGCTCAGCTGTGGTGATGAAGCTGTAGCTTTGCTGAGTTAGGATCTTCATAAGGTAGTCCATCAGGTCCCGGCCAGCCAGGTCCAGATGCAGAATGGCATGGGGAGGGCGTACCCCTGGTAGATGGGCACAGCGTGGGTGACGCAATTGCCCGAATCCATCACAATGCCAGTGGTTCGGCCAGAGGCATACAGGGACAGCACAGCCTGGATGGCGACATACATGGCAGGAGTGTTGAAGGTCATTTTCTCCCAGTTAGCCTTAGAGTTCAGGGGGCCCTCCGTCAGCAGCACAGGGTGCTCTTCAGGGGCCACACGCAGCTTGTTGTAGAAGGTATGGTGCCAGATCTTCTCTATGTCGCCCCAGTTGGTGACAATGCCGTGCTTGATGGGGTACTTGAGGGTTAGAATGCCGCTCTTGCTCTGGGCTTCTTCCCCCATGTAGGAATCCTTCTGATCCATGCCCACCATCAGGCTCTGGTGCCAAGGGCGCCCCACGATGGAGAGGAAGACAGCCCGGGGGGCGTAGGCCACGAAGCCAGCCTAGCACATCCTGGAGCCGTTGTCAACCATGAGCGCAGCGATGTCATCATCCATGGTGAGCTGGGGGTGTTGGGTGTGAAACGGCGGCCTGTGCTCCGGGGCGGACGAGGTGTCAGCTGTCTATCTCAAGAACTTTTAATGATTAATCATTTTAAACTGAAAAATTTATGGACAAAAGAATTAAAGGCAACTGACACCTTAAAGAAATGTTATGCATGTTGTCATTAGATGCCATCGAATTGAGTACTATTCATAGTAACCCAATGAAGAGTAGATATAAACCCTGTCCTATCCTGTGCCATCCTCAATCTCTGACACTTAAGCCTATTGCTGCAGTCACTGCATCAATCCATCTGATCCAGGGTCTTCATGTCTTTCATTGACCCTACACTTTCTAAGCATGGTATCTCTCTCCAAAGAATAGTCTCTCCTAGCAATATGCCAAAAGTATGTGAGACAAAGCTTTGTCTCCAAGGAGTACTCTGACTGCACCTCTTCCATGACATAGCTGTTTGTTCTTTTAGCAGTCCAATGGATAATTCAATGCTCTTTTCCAATATAACTCAAAAGCATCTTCATCTTTTCTTCATCCATTGTCCTTATTCACTGTCCAGCTCTCAGATGCAGAGCCAAGTGACTGAAAAGACCATGGTCTGGATCAGGCATACCTTAGTTCCTAAACTAACATCATTGCTCCTCAGTAATTGGGAGAGGTCTCTGACTACAGATTTTCACAGTGCAATACATCTCCTAATCTCCTGTCTGCTGGAACCAACTATACTGATTGGGGTTCCAAGTAAGATGAAATTGTTAAGTTTCAATCTGTTCTCCGTCATCTATCATGCTGTTGCTGATTAGTCCTGTGATGAGAATTTTTGTTTTCTTGAGGTTGAGATCCAATCTAGGTTGGATTTCACTATGGATAAAAGGTATGAATTTTATTAATCAAATCTGACTGTGAAAAATACGTGAGAAAGTACTTGCAAAAACTTCTCTTCTACCCTCATCTTTTCCAGAGTATTTTTATTACCTAGAATAAGTGTATCTGTTTAAAGATATATTTGTTCAAAGAACTATACAAAAAAAATCACTATCATATCAAAAAGAGGAATAAAGTGTATTGTATTATATAGGTCACAGTTCATAATAATGATACTAAATATTAAATATGCAAAAGCAGCATTTATGTAATACTTGCTATGCATACTATTAAGTATACCTAGTATATACTAGAATTCAGTATTTTACATAAAGATAGAAAAGCACAAAGAGAATGCAATCCCAAAAGTATGCAGTTCGAATTCACCAGATACTCTGCTGGAGAAGGAGGGGCAATCCCCTCCTGTACCAGTCAGATCTGATTTGATGGTACACATAAAAAAACACAATAAAATTAAAAAAAAATTTTAAAAAAAGGAGCACAAGAGGTTGAAAAACTCACCCACCAAAAAAAACCCCCCCACAACAACAAAAGCAAAAAATAAACCTCATCTGGTATCATACAATTGGTAGATGTTAATGTAATGTAGCAACATGAATACAGAGGATGTCTGAGAGCCTCTAGTTTTAACAACTATGCTGTACTGCTATCTCAGACATTAAGGTTAGTTTAAAGTTACAGAAATAAAAAATAAGACTAGACATCATCCTATTTGCTTATATATGCATAAACACTACTCACTAAAAGACAGTACCCAGCATGCAGGAGTTAGGGACAGGATTACTGTCCATTTTTAAACATTTATTTTATTCTGAACCATTTACATGTTTTATATTTTATCAATAAAT